CTCCGGGTCCCGACGGAGTCCCGGCCCGCCTATGGAAGGACGTCGCCGGGATCTTGGCCCGGAGACAAATGCATCTGCTCGACGGATGCCTAATGTTCGTAAAGGAACGAACAGACCGAGAGAGGGTGAGAACATCCCACTCTTGCAGGTTTCGCGCCGAAGGACAGCCCTATGCCGTCCTAGGTGGTCATAGAGGCCGACACTACGAAAAGGATCTGGGTCTCCTCAGACTTGCATGTCGGCCCAGGGGATAGCGTAGAGAGGGGTGGTCCCTCCCAATGCCCGAACTAACCAAGGAACGACTTCCTCAGACAGGAAAGTGCTCAGGCAGTAATCCAAAAATTTTCTCCTTCCCCTTCAGGTCCCGGGCATCCCAGCTGAGCGTCGGGCGGTCCACGGGGGGGGGGGGGGGGGGGGGGGGGGGGGGGGGGGGGCGCGGCGGGGGGGGGGGGGGGGGGGGGGGGGGGGGGGGGGGGATGTCCATGAGGATTTCCCCACGTATAAAAAAAAAAGGTTTCTTGCTTGGGAAATACGAATTTGATATATTCAGTGAAAAACAACATTGAAAGACGAAAAGAGGTGAATCGTACGAAATATAGTATTTGAGTCCCACCTCCTGGAATTATTTCTCTTATAGATTTTTTGCTAAATTTTGAAGAGTTTGAGTGTGTTTCAGAATCCATCGCCAGACCACCAGAAGAAGATGCGTATCTCATATTATGCCCCATTCTTTCCCCTTTATCATATTTAGATCTTTAGATAGGTAGGGTCCACAAACAAATTTTTAGATTTTTAGATAGGTAGGGTCCACAAACAAAGTTTTAGATTTTTAGATGGCAGGATTCATCGACAAACCTTTAGCTTGTGAGGCAGATAGAACAATAAATCTTCAAATTTGTATCTAGGTAGTATTCTATAAATAAACATTTAGGTGTCTAATGCTCAGAGTTTACAAAGAAATTGTTCAAGTTGGTTGTAGGTAAAAGTTTGTAAAAAGAAATCTTTACTTGTAATTGGCAGAACTTCTACAGAAATCATACAATTTTTATGTAAGTAGAGACGACAAAAAATCTAAGGTTTTGATGAAATTAATTTCAATTTACGTTTATTTCATGAACCTCTACAGGACCAATGGAAAGAAGATATTCTCTTATAGTATAATCAACATATTCAACATATTCGAGATCAAGGTATTCAGTTGTGGAAGATATATTAATTCCCTACTTAGACGCAATATTTTCTCTTCAATTTTATTTACTATATTGAGATATTTATGTAGATAGGATTCATGAAAATCTTTGAATGTTTGAGAGGCTGGTTAAATTAGATTTGTAATCAGATAGGAAATTGAAATTTGATTTTTACTGCTGGGTAAGGCATTTGTGAATTAATTTTATAAATGAGATCTATGGTTAGGTTGGTCATTCTCAAATTAAAACCCCAACTCAGAATTAGGTAGATGCTTAATAGAAAACCTAATAATGTTAGGAAGCACTGTGTCTCTGTATGTGTATGATAGATAGATAAGTCGTTTTGAAATTAAAGATGGTAATAGAAATGTAAAATTACTGATAAAGATAGGAAAAAGAGTCTCACATACAATTATACGATTAGTTTATGATTTAATGTAATTTTTATTTTCATGATTATCTTAAGATCTAATTCAATTTTTAGTTTTAGGTGGGTCTCCAATCGCAGCAATCTCCACTCAGCGAGACCCGGATAATCATATTAATATTTAATATACAATTTCTAATTGCATCAATACGTAATTAGTAGCCATGATACAATTATGAATTGTGTAGTAAATGATAATATGAGCTGATTGGCTGCGATCGCGATTAGTTTTACATAATTATGTAGTCAAAATTTATTTATTATTACCTTTTAAAGGATAGTTAGTAATTGCCACGACTTACATTCCAAATTCGTTCGTAAGTTAATTAACTTTCACTCTGCCCACTGTTCTCAATTACCACGCGTCTAACCGAATTCGTCTTACGAGTGCAGCGTTCAATCTATGGCTCGTTGCAAATTAAGCAAAAATACGACAAATCTAACGAAGTCTTTTAGCTAAATAGACTTTTAGCTAAGTTAAGTTTTTTAGTTAAGGTAGAATTTCAGGAAGAGATTAGGGTGATATAATAGGTCATTGAGGTGATTATAGGAGTTGTGTGACGAACTCTTAAATAATTCTGCAAATTGACGATGTCCGGATAATACATTTCTTCAAATTCATAATTCTGAAAATATATTATATACGTCATGGAATGATTATAATAAGGATGAGAATATACTTATTATCATTTCACTTATTTGGATATTCGATATTGATCAGTATATTAAAAAATGCCCAAAATATTCAAAGTGAAGTATTCGTCGAAAAATTGAAAGGGTGAAACATATCTTTATTTAGATATTATTTCTTTAATTATATTTGTTGAAGTAGTCACCATTTCTAAGAAAACCCTACATCTGGTCTTTTTAGTTTTCTCAAGCACTGAAGTCATTGACAGCGTATAAACAAAAGATTGCGACGAGGACAGACCATAAACAGTAGACAGGCAACGTTGGCTTCGGAGTTTTCAGTTATAGGGTAACACTGCTAGCATGCGGATTTGGACCAGCTCAAATTGTATTCTTACTTATAATTACATTTCTGTATTAAAATATATTTTCTACCTTACAATTTATCCACGAGTTTCTCTGTTTATACATCAAATAACCTCAACATTATTCATAAAAATCTTCAACCTATCGATCGAAATTTCCAATTACCGTCAATTTTCCTAACTTTTGTTCGGTTTGTTAGCAGAAAGCTAAGAATTCGCGAGATGTCAGATAGAATCTTCAGTGTACCGATTACATGAACGCTTCTAGAAATTCATTTGCGTTGCCATTAGTCACAAATAGAACCACAGTATCTGTGGATGATTGACTTTTGGTATCGAAGTAAATGGGTGGAGTGCTGGTTAAATAACTTTTCATTGATGACCTATCGAAGCCCGAAATTCATAAATTATCCAGGTCTCCAAAGTTCTATAGTGAATCTTGATTCTTTATTGAACCATATTTTGAACTGACTTGAATTTCTAAAGTATCGTTGATCTCTCAATTGTTTCGAAATTATCATTCAGACGTTTATTACTATCTATGATTCCATCGTAATCGCGTTTCGATTTCTATTCGGAAGTAGTACTCAGATAGCATCAAATTTGCCACATCGACTATTTTTACGCTCGCTTGAACTTTACGATCTCCCGACGTTCTTGCATTCTCAATTATACTCGACGCTAATCCTCCCATTTGTTTGACGGACCGATGTTGTCGAATTAGAAAGTTCATTGTCTAGCTGTGACTTCTTAACTTTTGTCTTCCTTCTTCCAGCTATGCGGAATAATGACGAGGCGATGGAAAACGCGCACATAGGGCGTAAAATTCAAACTACTGGTGAGAGAAAAGTTGCGTTTTGTTTATGCAGATGTTGATGCGCATGCGGTTAAGATTTACTGAGAGTATTCGCGATGCAGTGGTTCGTTGATTGGGGTCAAATCTTGTGAACGAATGGCTTTATTGAGTAGTAAAATTAGGCCTCATAAATTTTGCAATTTTTTCGAAATAATAAGAATGAAATAGCTCTAATGAATTATATATTGTTGGAAATTTAACATTGAAAATTTTCAATTATTAACATGTACACGTTCTTACTAACACGTTGCTAATCTTGATTTATATCTTTATGTGTACTTTTAGTTGGATGACAATCCATGTCTCCACAATGTATAGAATAAGACAAACATTTGGACTACGAATTAAGGAATTATTTAGTGAATCAATTAACGAATCATAGATTTCCTTCTCGACAACATGCTTTATCAATGAAGGTAATTTAATAAACACATTCTCTGCATCATTATGAACCTCTTTCTAGTCACCGCAAGTGTGAATACGTAACTAGGCTACGAATTTGATGGCTAAAATGCAGATGTTCATGGCAAATGAACACAAATGCAGGTAAACAAAGAATATTAAAAGTAAATTATGTAACGTAAATAATAAATTGTATAAGTAAATAATTAAATAAGTAATAAAAGTTACAAAATTTAGAAGATACCACATATCCTGATTCAAGCTTTACTTCCACGTTATTCGTCGTTAAGGCGCTTATCAAAGATCTCATTTCATTTAGTTCAGTGTGATAAAATAATGACACAAAAATGCAGCTTAGAAAGTGAATGTGAAACGTCTGTATATATTTACCTATGTCAATTGTCAGAACCTTCGTCGTCCGAGGATTAATCCTTTCACTGTGGATTAAGATGATTATGCGTTGTAATAACTGTGTTGTAGAACTTAAGAAAAATTATTTTATATGGATTTGACGTATACTCATTTGGCTATTGATTAGAACAGAAAATACATAATCGCCCATGTGTTGCAACAATTCTAAGCCTTAACAGTTTATATCGTCGTTAAAAAATTTTGAAAGCAGTTTAAACATCACAGCATAACGTATATGTAGAACGATAATCCGAACAAGACCATCGTTCACGCGCCCCATCGATAAGGCGTTAATCGATTCTTGTAGATCTCTCTCGGGGCTCATTTTCTCCGCCATCGTCGTTCAATTTGGCGGTCCGTAAGCGTGACCGGCGTCTCCTCCGCAAGATGCAAAGAAAGAAGCAAATGGGAAGAGGAGAGAAAAAAAAGCAACGTGGGAAAGAGAAAGATGCGAAGAAAGGGAGTAATTCCTCCTGTGGGATCTCGGCGACGTAATTCGAGAATCGACACGAATATCTCGGCGGAGACGAGTCAGACAGCTGGAAGGAGAAACAGACATAGCTCATGAATGTAGGTCCCCCGATCGCCACCTATAATACGAACCTCCCACCTCGAGGGAGTCGTGCCACTATCTTACAGCTTCCTTCAAGAACCGTGCCCGTTTCATTGTCGAGTTCATTCAGTTCAGCCCGGTCAACAGGTGGACCACCTTATCGGGAGACTCGAAGCAAGGCTGACTTTAACAGGAATGTTCCAAGAGATAGAATCTTGAACGCATACAGGATGTTTCTAAAATCGCGTCGAGCAATTCGTAGGAGATGGGATATTTCTCTGCTTCGTGGGCGGCAACGAAGGGTGACATTAGGTTTTTTTTTATTGATTTCGACGTTTTTATTGGGATTTTTATTACCACTTTGTTGGTTCAAAAGGAAACCGAGGTTCTTAGTTGGTCGTATATTGGGATTTTGGTGATTCAGAAGGATATTTTGATATTTAAGAAGCGTAGAAGGTAAATTGAATGATTCTGTTGATGTGAAAAAGATGTTTCGATTTTTGGAAATCTAGATACTTTAAACGATTCACTTTTGAATCAGTATTAGTACATAGTTTTTGTAAATACAAATTTTCTTTTTAAATGACATGACGTATTAGAAGATAGAAGATCTTTGAATAAAGAAATTGTTGTATTCAAGAGATTCGAACGATGAGTTAAATGGGATTTCTCGGTAAATATAAGCTTATAATCTGGCTTTTATTGTGGATTATTGGTATTATTGAAGAATCTTTAGAAAATGGAGTAACTATTAATCAATTAATATATCATCTACTTTAATGTCTAAGCCAATAGCATTCCTTTTGTAATAAATGGCGTTCCTACAGTGACAAAAATGTTGCTATAATATATTAGATATCTTTTCCATTTCTTCGATTAAATATCACAAATGCTTTCTTCGCTATCATTTCTTACTTCAATTTCAAATTCGCTTTTTCGATGAATGTTTATTCACTCGAACAGTTTATAGTGAAATCTTCGATCGAATATTTTACATGAAACTTCGAAAGAGATACCGCATAGGAAGGTCTTCGTTTCGGCATATATTATTGTTCTCTTTTAGAAAAAGTAAATCGAAGATCCATTATTTTTGAAAGTAATTTTGTTAAGAAATATTCATTTATCAAACACTCGTATTCTATAATTACCAGACTTACGAATATATATACATTTTAAAATTAAAAAATTAATAAGTTAAATATTGTATACATCAAATAGATAAAATACTCAAACATAATCAACATATAGTTCAATCTTCAAATTGGATCTCTGAGAGCACTATTGTCGAAGGAATCAAAACAACTACCATTCATGCTCGTCACCTATCATTTTCTCAACAATTCAGCAGCAGTTAATGGCGAGCTTGCGGTTTATCGTCACGTAAAATGATCAGGAATCGGTTCTTCAAATAGCAAAGCAGAGATTTGACAAGCAAATTAAAGCGAATGTAACAGCTGTGCCGACGTATTAAGTCACACTACTGCACCAGCTTAAATTACCACATAACGGGTGGTCCTGTAACACAGCTCGAAAGTGGTGAACTGGATAACGGAACGACTGACTGGAACGACGGGTGAGTCGCGAAAAAGACGAAAAGGAACGAATCTCGCTGCACGAATTAATCGAGCAACTTTCTTCCGGAATATTTTCCATAGTACTTAGCTACATGATATTTAGTCTTTAATCGTACACAGATCTTTTCTGGAATTCTTTTTGATTCTGGTCTTTCGTTATAAAACTCGTAGAAAATTTTGTACGAGATATCTCTGATTTCTGTGTACTTAAAATTATTCATTTTTCAACGTTATACCATTTCCACATTTGTATAGTTTCCAATTCCACGGCTACTAAGTTTCGATTCAAATATTTGTATATCCTTTTAATTAAGCTATCTCTATGTTTTCCCAGTTCCCAATTTTTTCATTGCTCTTGTTCTTATTATTATTTCTTCAATACACGAAGGCATTAAGTTGTAATATGAATTTGTCTCGCCTTCATCGTTCATGTGGTAAATATACTATCATTTACACATTTTTCAACATTTCAATTTGTATACCGAAAGCACATTTCTTTAATGCCCATTTTCGTCGCCCAATAATTACATACCCACATGATACAGATCCTTTCGATTCTCCTTCAAATTCCTATCCCCCCCCCCCATTCTTTCTCCATCACCAAACTCCTACCTACTTCTACTGTCGTCCTTCCAAGGCAAGGGTACTTCAAAGAGATGATATGCAAATATACATGCTCACGCGCAATTACAATGATAATAAAAATCTAACAAAGAGGAAAGTATAATGCGACAAACGATTTTTCTCGTCATGAAGAAGATGACGATAATGAGAATAAGAAAGAACCTGACCCACAGCACATCCGGGAAAATTTTAGTCTAAATAAAAGTAGCTCGGAAGTACTTTCGAAAAATAATTTATTGGTTTGGTTGACGACGCCTCCAAATCGTATGGTTAAATCGCAAATCCACAAATTTCATTCCTGTAAACTCAATTCGAAGAAAAGCCAAGGATAATATTATTCAAATAATCATTTTCTAAATATTTTATCTAAATGATCCTTATAAAATTCCTACGATCTTATTAGTGGTAGAAAGAAAAACACATAATCATGTGTATAATCTACCATTCTATCACAGAGCTCCTATAGCGACAAATTTTATTCATTCTTATTCAATTTTTACTTATTCAATTCATTCAGAAGTCAAATTACTCAACAAAAGTTAATAACTTACTAAGGTTTAGGTTTCGTAAATATTTCATTTAAATATTACATTATAATATATTACGTTATAACGTATTACGTTATAAAGTATTAGGTTATATAGTATTACGTTATAT